GCTGCGTTGGCAGTGGTTTCAAAAGCACAACGATGACAATGGCCTGCGTACATCCGTCAAGAACAACTGCGTGCGTGTGTGTGTGTGGCCTTAAAAGGACAAAAAAATATATATATTACAGGCGACGTTTCGGGCTACAGACCTTAGTTCAAAGCGCACAAACGGCACGTCGGCACGCCGACATCGAACAAATGCGGCGGTCACCGCGGCCGTCTGGAACGTTCTTCCCTGCGATTGGGAGCTTTGCAATTCTTAAATCATCATCGTCGTCGTCATCGTCGTCATCGAGATTGACAAACTCGTTACTTTAGAACTGCTGCTTGCGTCTAGTTCGTTGTCTTCCCCCCCTCCCCCCCCGGCACCTCAGATTACCACGTTTGGCTACGTACGGTGTGAAAGAAGTTCAACTTACATACATGGATAGCCAAAGACTCCTCACACAGAGACCCATAGACTCATCACACAGAGACCCATAGACTCATCACACAGAGACCCATAGACTCATCGCACAGAGACCCATAGACTCATCACACAGAGACCCAGACTCACCACACAGAGACCCATAGACTCATCACACAAAGACCCATAAACTCACCACACAGAGACCCACAGACTCATCACACAGAGACCCATAGACTCCTCACACAGAGACCTATAAACTCACCACACAGAGACCCATAGACTCACACAGAGACCCATAGACTCATCGCACAGAAACCCATAGACTCCTCACACAGAGACCCATTGACTCATCACACAGAGACCCATAGACTCACCACACAGAGACCCATAGACTCACACAGAGACCCATAGACTCATCGCACAGAGACCTATAAACTCACCACACAGAGACCCATAGACTCACCACACAGAGACCCATAGACTCACCACACAGAGACCCATAGACTCACCACACAGAGACCCATAGACTCACACAGAGACCCACAGACTCATCACACAGAGACCCATAGACTCACCACACAGAGACCCATAAACTCACCACACAGAGACCCATAGACTCACCACACAGAGACCCATAGACTCACACAGAGACCCACAGACTCAGCACACAGAGACCCATAGACTCATCACACAGAGACCCACATACTCACCACACAGAGACCCACAGACTCATCGCACAGATATCCATAGACTCACACAGAGACCCATAGACTTATCACACAGAGACCCATAGACTCACCACACAGAGACCCACAGACTCACACAGAGACCCATAGACTCCTCACACAGAGACCCATAGACTCATCACACAAAGACCCATAAACTCACCACACAGAGACCCACAGACTCATCACACAGAGACCCATAGACTCCTCACACAGAGACCTATAAACTCACCACACAGAGACCCATAGACTCACACAGAGACCCATAGACTCACTCACACAGAGACCCACATACTTACACAGAGACCCATTGACTCATCACACAGAGACCCATAGACTCACCACACAGAGACCCATAGACTCACACAGAGACCCATAGACTCATCGCACAGAGACCCATAGACTCCTCACACAGAGACCCATTGACTCATCACACAGAGACCTATAAACTCACCACACAGAGACCAATAGACTCACCACACAGAGACCCATAGACTCACCACACAGAGACCCATAGACTCACCACACAGAGACCCATAGACTCACACAGAGACCCACAGACTCATCACACAGAGACCCATAGACTCACCACACAGAGACCCATAAACTCACCACACAGAGACCCATAGACTCACCACACAGAGACCCATAGACTCACACAGAGACCCACAGACTCATCACACAGAGACCCATAGACTCATCACACAGAGACCCACATACTCACCACACAGAGACCCACAGACTCATCGCACAGATATCCATAGACTCACACAGAGACCCATAGACTTATCACACAGAGACCCATAGACTCACCACACAGAGACCCACATACTTACACAGAGACCCATAGACTCATCGCACAGAGACCCATAGAATCCTCACACAGAGACCCATAGACTCACACAGAGACCCATAGACTCACTCACACAGAGACCCACATACTTACACAGAGACCCATAGACTCATCACACAGAGACCCATAGAGGGCTACGTACGGCGCGAAAGAAGTGCACACAGCACGTGTCTCTCTCTCTCTCAGGAGGCAGGAGTGGAGGGGCACGTGTTGGAGGGAGGGCCCAGGCGTATCGACATCAGCAGCAGCTCCCTGGCGAGAGCCGATGACGATGACGGAGACGATGGTGATGGCGATGGTGATGACGGAGACGATGACGATGGCGGAGCGGCGGGCGAAGACGCGGATCGCGATATTTTGACGAAGGGGGTTGAAAATGATTGTTGAAAAACGTCATTAAAATTATGAAGATTAACAATTATTATTTATTGATTTATTGTTGAAAATTATTGTTGAAAAACGTTATTAAAATTGTTAGGATTAACAATCGTTATTTATTAATTTATTAAGGAAAGCTGTCTCGGGTGTGGACCAATCAACTTCAAGGACAGTGCACATTATCAGAGTTATGTCTTTTGTTTGTATTTATGACTGCAGGTATTGCGGTCTATGCAAACATGACTCCTTGCAAAAAGGTGTCAGTTTTGTTGCCAGATAGAAGGGTAAAGAACCAATTATCATATTTTTACTGGCAAATGAGGTCCCCATAGTATTAATTTATTGTTTACAATTATTATTGAAAAACGTTATTTAAAATTATTATGATTAACAATTATTATTTATCGATGTATTGTTTAAAGTGATTATTGAAATAACTCTGTTATTTAAAATTATCGCAAATTCTTATTGAAAATTATAATTATTTCTAATCATTATTTAAAGTATTATTTCATATTATTATTGAACATTATTACTTTTGAAAATAATTCTTTAAAACAGGCTTATTTGAACCCTGATCTTTTACCCCCCCTTCCACTGCCGCCCCCTTCCCATGTCAGAGGTCATCTTCACCCCCCCCGTAACGCGTCACAGGAGTCATCCGCAGACCTCACCGGTCACCCCGACCACGTGGTCGGCTCGTGCGCTCAACAGCGCCGGTTACCCCCCCCCCTCCACCACGACACCCAGGCACACGCAGAGACACTTGGGGACATCCAGTAAGATCCGTCGCGAACGCGAGGGCAGTAAGTTGCCTTGCGGGGGGGGGGGGGGGGGGGCACGGGTTGGCGGTGGAGGGGGGGGTGCGCATGAGATACTGACCGATTGGCGCGGTTTGGTTACGTACGGTGCGAAAGAAGTTCAACGCACGTGCGTACATACACACGCTACGTACGCACGGGGAAGGTTTCATTCCCCCCCCCCCCTACCGGCTGCTCGCCCGTGCCGAGCCGGGAAGCGAAACCGCGTCTGCAGGCCGGGGAGGGGGCCAAGCAGGGCCAGGGGGCGTGGCCAGAACGACGCGTTGGTTCGTTGGCCACGCCCATCGCGCGTGACGTCAGTTGGCCACGCCCATCGCGCGTGACGTCAGTGGGCAGGGCTCGGCTCGGCTTCAGAAGTGGAAAAAAAAATCAACGCCGGAACGGCTCGGTTGTGTCCAGTGGAGAAGGGAGGTGAATCTGTCGCGGGTTTGCGCCGACCGTTCTCACCGCGGGGATTTAAAAAGTGAGGGTGCGCCTGGCGCCAAACGCCGCGGTGCCACGGTGGCCAGGAGATGTTGACTACCTCGCCTGGTACGCAGGAGGTCGTGGGTTAGATCCCGACCCTGACGATGCCTGTTGCTGTATATTTGGAGTTTGCGTGTTTCTCTCTATATCATCATCACGGTGGCTAGGAGATGTTAACTGCCTCGCCTGGTGTACAGGAGGTCGTGGATTCGATCCTGACCCTGACGCCTGCTGCTGTATATGTGGAGTTTGCGTGTCTCTCTCTCGCATCATCATCATCATGGTGGCTAGGAGATGTTAACTACCTCGCCTGGTGTACATGAGGTCGTGGATTCGATCCTGACCCTGACGCCTGCTGCTGTATATTTGGAGTTTGCGGGTCTCCCTCTCATCATCATCATCATCACGGTGTCTAGGATATGTTTGTTGTTATTGTTGTTGCTGTGCTCGTGCATGAACCACGGATCTCCCTTTTGTGAAATAGCCGGGAAAATGCGGCTACACGGTGAGATCATCGTCATCATCATCGTCATTATCATCGTCATCATCGTTATCATCGTCGTCGTCATCGTCATCATCGTCGTCATCATCATCGTCATCATCATCGTCATCATCATCGTCATCATCGTCATCATCATCATCGTCATCATCATCATCGTCATCATCGTTGTCGTCATCAGCGTCATCGTGTAACAACTCAAATAAACTAAAACTCCGGGACACCCGGAAACATTCAAGGAGGTCTAAAACACACAGACACCTTTGGGTGTACAGCCACCGGATGATTGAAGACATCGAGAGACACGTCCAAGACGTCTGGAGAAAGCCTTGGACACCTCGAGAGAGAGAGGGGGAGACCGCAGGGAGACTTGGAGATACTCAAGACTCCCCAGAGACCGTCAGGGACACTTAGGAAGATTGGTGATTCGAGAAAACTGGAGACGCAGAGACACCCCAAACTTTGAAGACACCTCGAGACAACCCCAGAGATGCTCAGGGACACCCAGCGAGTTTGGAGAGACTCAGGGACATCAGGGATACACAGGGACACCCAGGGACACCCAGGGACACACACAGACACACACTGACACCCAGAGACACCCAGTGACACCCAGGGACACCCAGGGACACCCATTAAGATTCAAAGGACCGTGCCGGAAGACTCGCAGGGAGACACGCCGGGAGACACGCCGGGAGGCACGCCGGGAGACACGCCGGGAGACACGCCGGGAGACACGCAGTGAGACATGCCGGGAGACACGCCGGGAGACACGCGGGAGACACGCCGGGAGATGCGGGGAGCAATGGTGTCCGCTTCAGACGGTGGTGGTGAGCGCCGGCTCCACCGAGTGGCACCGCAGCAGCGCCCTCCTGCGGCGGCGGGCCCATCAGCCCCGCCGGCCCCACGGGCACCACGTGGGCCACGCTCACCTGGGGCCCCGGCCCATTGAACCGGCCCCCCGCGACCCCCAGGCCGCCGGGCCGGCCCCCCCACCAGCCACCGCCGGCCTGCGGCCCCGCCACTCCGGCGCCCGGCCGCCCCCCAGCCCGGTCCGAACCCCGTGCTCGCCTTGCCTTGCTGCGGCCTCGCGTCGCCGCGGAGCCAGGCGTCGCCACAGTAACCGTCTCCGAGGAAACCGTCCCTGAGGCAAACGGCGCTACCCGCGTGCATCGGGTTGCCGCGGAGACCGTTGCTGCCGTGGGGGAGCTTGGCGACGCCGTTGGAAACTGTGCCCCTGGAAACCGCTGCGGGGGAAAGCGTCGGCGTGGAAACCGTCAGCGTGGAAACCGTCGGTGTGGAAACCGTCGCCGCGGAAACCGTTGCCGTGGAAACTGTTGCCGCGGAAACCGTTTCCCGCCGCCATCGTTAAAACAAAAGCCGTCGCCGCGGGAAACCGGCATTCCCTTGCAGGGGTCCTCCACTGCCGAAGCGGTTGTCGTGGGAAACCAGCGGCGCTGGGGTAACAGCGGTCGGCCGGGCGAAGCCACCACCACCACCCACCATCGTCGTCACCGCCGCCATCGTCATCGTCGTCGTCGTTGTCGCCCGTCGCAGGACCCCGGGCAGCCGCAGCTCGTCACTTCCTCGCAGCAGCAGCAGCAGCTGCCGCAGCTTCGCCCACGAGCGGCGCCCAGTCCCCGCCGGCGTCGCCGGCCCGGCACAGGCGGCGCACGGACAGCGGCGCCGCGTAGTCCGCGCACTCGGCCGCCGCCCGCCGCCGCCATCTTCCCCCTCTCGGCGGCAAAGAAGTCCCAGATGGAGCGGGAGGACGTGGAGACGAGCGGACGCCCCGTGCCGCCGCCAAAACCGCCGCCGCCGCCGTCGCCCCTGTTCCGGCCCGGCGCCCCGAACGTGGTGGCGCGTTTGAACGGCGCCGACTCGAATGGCGGCGGCGGCCGCCACTCGGCGACGCGGTCGAGCGACGCCGACTTGCAGCGGCGCACGGCGGCCTTCGACGGCGGCGGCGGCTGCGGTTGCCGCTGTTGTTGCGGCTGCGGCTGCTGCTTGTTCGCCGCGCGCTTGCCCGCGTGCAGGCGCCCGCCGGTGAGGGAACTGCGAGACGCCGCGCACGATGCCGTGCTTCATCGGCGGCACGCTCGCCACCAGCCGCGTCGCGCGCCGACCCGGCGGCGACGGCGACGGCGGCGGCGACGGCAGCGGCAGCGGCGGCGGTGCTGCCGGTGGCGGAGGGGGACGGAAGCTTTCGAACTGGACGCGATGACGACGACGGCACGGCGATTGCGGTCGGGAGGACATGAGGCAGGAGGAGAGGAGGGGGAGGAGGAGGGGGAAGAGGGGGGGAGCGCAGCGACAACCTCACGCTCATCTCGGAATCTTCTCCGGCGGCGGCGTTCGCCGCGGCCGGGAGCGACGGCACGGAGGAGTTCCCTGCTGGACGACGACGAGGACGAGGACAGCGAGGAGGAGAACGAGGGCGGCGGCGGCCTTCGACGAGGCGAGCGCCGGGGCCTTCGCCGCCACCCCCGCCGCCGCTTGCCGCCACTTCCTCCTCTCCAGGAGGCGGGCGATGTAATCGTCCGGCTTGCCGGCCGACGGGAGACGCTCGGCAAACGGCGCGGGCGCGGCGCGGCTTCTCCGTCGGTGGAAGTTGCGGCAGGGGCGGCGGATTCTCCAGTCGTGCACGCTCCGCCGGATGATGTGCCGGATGAGTGCCGGATGATGTGCCGGCTTCACCGGCGTGCTCGATCGGCTCGATATGCCGGGACGTCATGCCAGACCGACCGGATTTTGCCGGACGTGCGGATCCCCCAGACGCGCCGGATGCGCGGGGAGAGCTCCAGCCGCGCCGGAATTGGCAAGACGCGCGAGGTGTTGGGGGCGTGCCGGAGTTGTCAAGTGCACCGGCTCCTCGGGTTCGCTGGATTCGGTGGAATCGCCGGGGGGGGGCGTCGCCGTCACGGAGAGCAGCAACAGCGCGGGGCTCTGGATGGCCACGGCGTGCAGCCGCGCTCGGGTAGCGGTACAGCCCCGAGCCGTCAAGGCTGGGCACGTCCCCGAGCAAAGCGGCGAGTGCCGGGGCTCACCGGGGATGCTACGGAGGGGGGGGGGGGGGGGGGGCCCGGTGGGAAAGGGGGGTTAAGGGAGGTGACGGTCACCAACAACCGCGCAAAGACCCCCCCCCCCATGAAACCTCATTATTAGGAAGACACTGGAGCTATGCACTTTTAAATCATCTCTATTGAACACCAATTTATTTTAAACTGCGTTGTGTTTAGTTTTGTTGTTCCTTCTCCCCCGCACCTCCGTTTAGCGCGGTTGGCTACGTACGGTGCGAAAGAAGTTCAACATACACACTGCCCATAGACTCAACACTGCCCATAGACTCAACACTGCCCATAGACTCAACACTGCCCATAGACTCAACACTGCACCATAGACTCAACACTGCCCATAGACTCAACACTGCCCATAGACTCAACACTACCCATAGACTCAACACTGCCCATAGACTCAACACTGCCCATAGACTCAACACTGCCCATAGACTCAACACTGCCCATAGACTCAACACTGCCCATAGACTCAACACTGCCCATAGACTCAACACTGCCCATAGACTCAACACTGCCCATAGACTCAACACTACCCATAGACTCAACACTGCCCATAGACTCAACACTGCCCATAGACTCAACACTGCCCATAGACTCAACACTGCCCATAGACTCAACACTGCCCATAGACTCAACACTGCCCATAGACTCAACACTACCCATAGACTCAACACTGCCCATAGACTCAACACTGCCCATAGACTCAACACTGCCCATAGACTCAACACTACCCATAGACTCAACACTACCCATAGACTCAACACTACCCATAGACTCAACACTACCCATAGACTCAACACTGCCCATAGACTCAACACTACCCATAGACTCAACACTGCCCATAGACTCAACACTGCCCATAGACTCAACACTGCCCATAGACTCAACACTGCCCATAGACTCAACACTGCCCATAGACTCAACACTGCCCATAGACTCAACACTGCCCATAGACTCAACACTGCCCATAGACTCAACACTGCCCATAGACTCAACACTGCCCATAGACTCAACACTGCCCATAGACTCAACACTGCCCATAGACTCAACACTGCCCATAGACTCAACACTGCCCATAGACTCAACACTGCCCATAGACTCAACACTGCCCATAGACTCAACACTACCCATAGACTCAACACTGCCCATAGACTCAACACTGCCCATAGACTCAACACTGCCCATAGACTCAACACTGCCCATAGACTCAACACTGCCCATAGACTCAACACTGCCCATAGACTCAACACTGCCCATAGACTCAACACTGCCCATAGACTCAACACTGCACCATAGACTCAACACTGCCCATAGACTCAACACTGCCCATAGACTCAACACTGCCCATAGACTCAACACTGCATAGACTCAACACTACCCATAGACTCAACACTGCCCATAGACTCAACACTGCCCATAGACTCAACACTGCCCATAGACTCAACACTGCCCATACTCAACACTGCCCATAGACTCAACACTGCCCATAGACTCAACACTACCCATAGACTCAACACTGCCCATAGACTCAACACTGCACCATAGACTCAACACTGCCCATAGACTCAACACTACCCATAGACTCAACACTACCCATAGACTCAACACTGCCCATAGACTCAACACTGCCCATAGACTCAACACTACCCATAGACTCAACACTGCCCATAGACTCAACACTGCCCATAGACTCAACACTACCCATAGACTCACACTGCCCATAGACTCAACACTGCCCATAGACTCAACACTGCCCATAGACTCAACACTCCCCATTGACTCACACACTGCCCATAGACTCAACACTGCCCATAGACTCAACACTGCCCATAGACTCAACACTGCCCATAGACTCAACACTGCCCATACTCAACACTGCCCATAGACTCAACACTACCCATAGACTCAACACTGCCCATAGACTCAACACTGCACCATAGACTCAACACTGCCCATAGACTCAACACTGCCCATAGACTCAACACTACCCATAGACTCAACACTGCCCATAGACTCACACTGCCCATAGACTCAACACTACCCATAGACTCAACACTACCCATAGACTCAACACTGCCCATAGACTCAACACTACCCATAGACTCACACTACCCATAGACTCAACACTGCCCATAGACTCAACACTGCCCATAGACTCAACACTGCCCATAGACTCAACACTGCCCATAGACTCAACACTGCACCATAGACTCAACACTGCCCATAGACTAACACTCTCTCTCTCTCTCTCTTTTTTTTACTTTTAAACTATTTTATTGCCGCCAGCAGCAACAGCACTGGAGGCGATTTCGACACGCAATACAAAGTCAGCAGCAACAACTAACACATCAAACACAATAAAAACACGCGCGCTGTGGCGATGGACGTGGCCAAAAGTCTCTCTCTCAGCTCACTCACCAGGATCGCTGTGATCCCAGCTGCCCGGGGTCGTGACCTGCTCGTCGCTGCCCTCTGATTCGTCGGATTCGGAGCCGACGCGGCGATCGGGTCCTCCGCTCCACTCGGAGAAACCTGCCGGGTTCACAAAGTCGCCGCTGTTACTGGTCGCGAGCGGGAACTCAACTCGGGTCCCCGGTTCTTTGAGGTGCAGTGCGCTAACCACTACGCCACGGTTCCTCGTGCACACTCACGCGCACAAAGACAAAGATCCCCCGTGTAGCTCTTGGGGCAAGTGGCTGCTAGCGAGTGGCAGCCACCGATGAAGGCCGGCACGGCGCACGACGGGGCGGTTGGACAGCGCCACGCCCCGGCCGTCTTTGTCTCCCCAGTGGGGATGTTTACACTCTGCACCGGTTATTGATTTAAGGTCGAGTCGACCTAAGGGAAGCCCGGGACAACACGCACTCACTCGTGCACGCTGTAGGCGGGGAACGAGTGGACCAATTTGAGTCCAGAAACTAGCCCCGACTTTAGTCAGTCCACTGCTGGATGATGGCCTCCCTGAGCCGTGCGGGTCATGGGGAGTTGCACACTACACGTGCCCAATGATTGCTCAACACGCTGTCCCATCTAACCCGGCTACCCTACCTAACCCGGCTACCCTACCTAACCCGGCTACCCTACCTAACCCGGCTACCCTACCTAACCCGGCTACCCTACCTAACCCGG